CTATTTAGATCTATTAACGCTCCATTAATGAAAGTTAATAGACTTTAAAAAAACCATTGATGAGAAGAAAATTTTTTATCAGGATATTATCAATGATGAGGAGACGAGGAAGTTGCGAGCGGCGATAAGATCAACAATGACTGATGGTGAGTATGTGCGATGAGCATCACTAGTGAAAAGTGACGGAACCAATGGCATGGTGACATGATTCCAGTCCCTGATGGAGGATGGGATCAACATTGTGGCAGCCCAAACTCTTAATCATTGAGATATTGTCCACTTTGACTTAAGAGCATCACGAATTTGTCTTGTTGGTATAAATTCTCGGTAGGTCATCCATCCCAGAATTGCTCCGGGAAGAGCACGCTTAACTGTGGAGTTTCTTAATGAAATTCCAACCACTACATCGAAAGGCGTCTCAATGTTTAAAAGTTTAGCTTCTTTTATTTAGGGGGTTTTACAAACATCAAATAACAAGCAATGGGATTTCAATTAGGGCAGTCAATTTCGAGGAACGGGTCGGGTTTGGGTCGAACCCGAAACAGACCCGGCACTATTCGGGTCAACCCGAACCCGACCCGTTTTTTAAAACGAGTCGGTTTTCCAGACCCAAACCCGACCCACTTCGGGTCCGGGTCAAACTAACACAACACGAATGACTATTTCCAACAAAAAATTACTAATTTTTGGGTCAAAACGGGTATATCTCCTTTTTTTCGGGTCAAAACGGGTCTTTCTCCTCTTTTTTTGGTCAAAAATGGGTCAATCTCGGATTGCCGGGTCAAAATCGAGTTTTCGGGTCAAAGGGTTAACCCGAACCCGACCCAATTTTTGAAACGGGTCAAAATGTTGAACCCGAACCTGACCCGTTTCGGGTTCGGTTTGACCCTAACCCGAAATTTCGGGTCGGGTTCGAGTCGAGTTTTCGAGTCGTGTCAAATATTGACACCCCTAATTTCAATGATGAAGGGTGGTGTGATAGGAGTAGTAATGGGAGGTAGGTTGGTGACCAATAGAAATTTGAGTGTTATTTTTGTTTTTATTTAAAATTTATAGGTGCTATGTATGTAAATTGTAAAGTTTAGGTGTAAGCATGTAAATGTAATAATTTTGAGTGTTGTGTTTGTAAATCCCCCTTAATAGTATAGTTGTATTATCTAATAATTTAGTTGTATTTGACTTATATCTTGTAGATAATATTATCAGTGATATTGAAGATCCCATGACCATTTGAAGTCTTGTGCGTCCTTTAAACCATTGGATGAGACTTTTGAACCCAATTTGATTCAAGTTGAACCGTATGGGCTCAAATAGGTCGAACTTACTTCGAATATTAAATTAGCCCAAACCAATATACATGGAAGTAATGGGAACAATTTAAAACATATATTATACCTAGTCAAGAAAATTGGTCCCATGGTTTGACCACATTAGGTTGACTCACCTTATTGACTAAGATAAACTAAAACTTTATGAGTGATGCTAATTGACTCACATAAATGGGTCAATTTACTTAATTGGGACCAAATAGGGTGGTTAACCTAGTTAAATGCTATCCAATAAGTTAAATTGTAATGATTTGAGCTTATGGCTTCGTTTGGGACGGTTTTTTTTACTGCTTCTTAAAAAAGTCGTCCCAAACGAAGCCAATAAATTTGTTTAAACCATTAAACTCCATTTAACCCATAGTTAAAATTATGGGTTAAAGAGAATTAGCACACCTAACCTAACTAACGGTGAGGGATCGATTTCCCTGAGTTTGGTAGTTCACACAAGCATAAAATTCTAACCTTAGCTAGATGCATGAGGGTTAGTCCATGGATAACTAGGATTACATTTGGGTGAGCTAAGGGTTGGAAAAGGAAGTCCTTAGCCTCCCCTTGTCCCCTATACTAAAGGTCTCCATGGGTACCTTCTGTAAGCAAGAAAAGTTATAGTTAGGGCTCGAGTCAACGGACCTGGGCCGAGACCCCTCCTATTCTACCCAACCCATACTCGTCAAAAAGATGAAATGAGGGTCATCCATCTTTGTGAATCGACGCAAAGACTTACATAAAATTATATGAAATTTTTACTATAAATACTTCATGATTAGGGGAATCAAAGCTAAAATAATTCTAATGGAAAAAACCCATAATTTCTAATAGGTTAAAATACTTCATGATTAGGGCACCTCGAGTGGTTGAGGATAAGATAAATTGTACTTTCACTTAGGATGTATGCAAATATGTTGCCAAGTGTAAAATTTTTCTTTCGATGTGACCTAAGGTGCTTGATGGATGTAAGATTTTCTATTTAATAGATGAGGAGCCTTGCTACATTAAATTTCATTTCAATCATACATTAATGGTTTACAATTAAAAGTGGTGGGGTATATCACATGTTGATGATATTATATTGAAGCAATGTTGTATGACACAAGCATTTAAAACAATGCAACACGCTAAGAGTTGATGGTGGCAAAGAGGTGAATTTCTAAGGGTTGGATTAACTATGGTCCAATTATAGTGAATGTCTAAGGTGAGAAAACGATATGATATGTGTGTGTGCGCACGCGTGTGCATGTGTCATGATTAATGATAATTATTTATCATTAAGGGTTTTAAAATGGGTTTTCAAGTAGGGTTCAGGTCTAATCAGCCCTTAATTGGTCCAACTCGAACCTGATTACACAAGCATGTCAAAAATCTAAACATGGACCCGACCGGCCCCAAACCTAGGTTCACCTGACCCGATACGCTAACCCAGGCAAGCGCAAAGTAGGCGAGCATCGAGCTCGAGTAGCGGGCCTCAAGGTGAAAGCACGGGTGCGAGTGCGAGCAGGCCACGGGCAAGCGCTGGAGGCGAGCACAGGTGTGAGTCGTGCGACCATGCAAGATTGTCAGCAGGTCTCCACGAGCGCGGGGGAATCGAGGGCAAGGAAGGTTGTTGGGGCGTGACGCGCACACGAGGTGCAGGCATACTGCAAGACGTGCGGATCTACATGAGGGTTGGTTCCAGGTTATTTCCGGGTTAGCAATTTGACCCAGGCCCGACCAAATTTGTCATACGAGTCGAGAATTAGAACCCGAACTCTACCTATTTGTTAAACGGGCCGACCCAAAATCGAATTTTTCAGGTCGAGTTTTCAGGTCGTTTCAAAAATCAACACCCCTACTCCTACACAGTAAGAATTGCATAGCACTAATATAGATATTGATTTTAAGATTTACGAAGAATTCAAATAGCATTTTAGAGTTGCAAGGGAATAAAAATAAAATAATAAATTGTAATGCATAACCAAAAAAAAAAGGTCTTAGATTTGAAAAGACAAATATTCTTGCAAAACTGCTTTTGAGTCAATAATTGAAGCTTCCCTTTACTACATGTTTGCCACAATGTCTTTCTTTGATATAAAACATTCATCACACTATGATCAATATGAGGAATATAGGGTTATGTGATTGCTTGCTTGCCATAGCTTAAAAGAGAAAAGAATACCCAATAGATTGTATGAGTAAAGATGAGAATTCATGTCTATTTATAGATATTCAAGTCTCTATGGAGATCATACAATATAATTAGTAGTACTCCCGATCATCCAAATTATCTCGAATGACTATTTTGACTAACCCAATCGTATAGTATGATATTGATGATGTAATACGATCATTATTCTCTAATCATACCATTGATTATCCTATGAATGATAACCTCTATTAATTTGCCTATAGAAGTACCTATATTTCAAGTTTCTATTCTAATTTTAATTTCATGGACTAATTTCTTTGTCTACATCCTTCCATAATATAAAAACCCTTGTTTATTTAACATTGAACCCAAGCGTTGTTACAACAATCCTTGCACACTTTTGATTGTACTCGAGTCATACAGAGTCTCTTCAAAGAACATTCTAGCATCAACACAATATATTAAATAATTCATGTCATGATTGTTCAACTAGTTTTACGCTGACTGTCGACTACTAAATACAAACTCCACTTTTCTTATATGGGATTTAGGACTCGACAACGATAATATTAAGTAGGGCACATAACCGATATAGAAAAATAGAAAGGAAACTAGTTATAGATAAAAAAAGACCCCAAAAAATACTTTTTCTCAAATTTCAAATCAAGAATAAAAAAATAATTTTTTTAAAAATACAAGTTGGATTCCAAACCTGTGACATCTGCCAAAGATACAATCATGAATTTAAGTAACAAAAAATCATTCAAATAAATCAATTTTTGGCCCATATCAAATTTAAAATTAAATAAAAAAGCCCACTAAAGACCAATGCTCGGCCTTTAATTGACTTCTTAAGTACATTGAGAATGAACATGATATCAAATCCTGCTATTTTCAAGTAAATGCATTAAACAAAGAATTTATTCTAAATCCAAAAGCATTAAAGCCAAACCTATTTCTATCCTAATTAAATTTAACTCATCAAATTTGAATAAATCAAAATGAGACTGTTTGGGGCAGCTTCAGCTGTTCTAATAGTTGTCAAGCTATTATGAGGAAAGAAATATTTTAAAAACTACAATGAATATTATAAATATTTTTTTTTCAAAAGTTGAACAATTTTCTTACAATTAATATACTCTAATCAATCTGATTATAAAGCTTACTTTTCTTTTCAAAAATTTCTAAAAAGAATAACAAGAAAGTAATAACCAAATAGATGTGCTAAAAAACAAAATAACGAAAATACTACCTCGAACGGAGCTCGAGTCTAGCCAACCTACAACTAGGCCTACTTTGAATCAGATCAAACAAAATGAGTTTGAACTAACCTTAAGGTTCCGTTTGGGACAGTTTTCTTATTGGTTTATAAACTAGCTTTTTAGTACAAAAATTTTTTGAAGTTGAAATTTTTGTACTATAAAGTTGTTTTAAAAAGCAGCAAGAAAGCTGTCCCAAACGAAGCCTCAGTCATGCTCAAATAAGCATCAGATTGGGATCCTTAAGGGGCCTATATTCATTTCAATGAAAGGTGAACAAAAAAATAGAAATGCAGACATTGTCAAATAACAATTTATAAGCATTTCTGACAAAAATGGTGTCCTAATCCCCTCAAATATCAAGGTTAAAAGCCGTTCCTAACATCACGGTTTGTTTCTTCCTACCAACCCAGAAAACACCCAAATTTGGCCTAAAAAGTGTAGCGAGAAATAAACAGTAACATATGATGCAATAACGACAATAATCAATCAGCTATACTCATAAAAAATTCATAAAAGGAAAAAGAATCAGGCTTCATTTGGGACAGCTTTTTTATGCTTCCTAATGCAACTTTCTAGTACACTAAAAAGCTGCTTTAAGAAGCAGTAAGAAAGTTATCCCAAACGAAACCTCAATAAAAAAACTTCATCTCTCTGATAGCTAAAGGCTCATACCAGTCAGGTCCAAAACCTGCAGCTTTCCTCGCTTCCACATTGAACGGTGGCTTAAGCGGCCCTCTGAAATATCTCCTCACAGTATCATGAAATGCCTCAATCACCACATTTTGCTTTCCACCGTTTACAGCTTCTTCTTTTGAGTGTTCCTTAGGAGCCCAATTTTCAGGACTTAAGCAGACAGAGCTTATATTTGAATCTTGATGACCGTTTATTTTCCTTTGGCATAGATAGGTGAACCATTTTACACCAGCTGCACAGTGAGTAATTTCTTCTGGATATATAACAGTTTCTAATAGGTTCGCAGTGTCTTCATCCCCTCCATTGCGGAAACGAGAGATTGTAGTTGGAAGAACATCCAGTCCTCTTGCCTACCTTGAAAAAGAATATCACAAAATGACCAATAAGTAAAGCTTAATGTGTTAGTTTTCTTTATTTATTTATTTTAAGCAGATTAATATGAAGATGTTAATTAATTCCATGAGCATGCCCTGTATGCAACAGATGAAAATTGAAAACTCAGAAGCTTGATTAGAAAAGTAGCATCATAAACATAAGTGTCCTGTAAGAGTACTTGTTTCTAGTTTTAAATTTTCTATTTTCAAAACTAGGTGCTACGTAGTTAAGAAAAAAGTATTTTTGTCAAAATACAAAAAAAAATAATCAGGATATCCTGATAAAAATTTGGTTAGGAGTGAAAGGATTCGTGGCCCAATGATCAGGGAAGAAGGTTGTTTCTCTAAGATCACTGGTTAGAGCTACATACTTTGTAATTTATCACTCATCATTTTCATTTTCATTTTCAAAAAAAAAAATCAGGATGCCTTAAAGCTGTTGAATTTGCTTTAAAATGAGTAAAATGCATGAATAATCAATCAAATAAGTTTAAGACTTTTCTCAAAGCAAATACAATAGCTATAAAATTCATCCTAATCAAATTTTGACTATGTTTTCATTTCTTATGTGCATTATTTCTTGAAATTGGGTAAATGTCTATAAGGATAAAATAACCCTAGGTTTTTATCTTTATTTAGATTAATTGGGTTGTGGATATTAATTATGCTAATTAGATATTAATAAGGCTACATAACATAGTACCAGGATAAAGGTCAAAGACAAGACCACAAAATAACATGTTGCAATAAGATTTGACTCATTTATCAAACACAACTATCCATACAAGCCCAACGAATACACATAATCTCTCCAAAATCATTAGAGAATAATGAAGAAGCTTAATTTAAAAACTCTTGATGACACAGGTGGGCCATACCAAGCAAGAATGTAAAAATTTTCAAAAATTATTTGATTTCAGGATCACTCTACATACATTATTTGACAAATTCAAATTTTAATCTTTTTGAAAGACTAAATTTTATTTTATTTCTCTTATTTTCTTTTCTTTTCCATTATATTCGGACAAAACATCAATCCATATAATAGAAATTTATTAATTCATAAATATGTTCCTAGTTGTCTAAGCTTAGAGAAGACTAATAAATAGAATTTTGCTTTATACTTTTAGATTCATTGAATAAAATTTATTTTTCACTTGTCCAAGTTTTATAATTGTTGGTTTTTCTACTCTATGGTGAAGCTTCTTAGTTTATCCCCTATGACTTAGGTGAGTTTAGTAATCTTTTCCCACCCTTAGTCATTATTTTCCCAATACAATTCTTACCTACTTTACATAATCTAAATTCTAGCTTCCCTCAACCAGAAAATACATATAACTTCTTTAAAACTCTCCCAAACATTTACTTAAATCTCTCATAACCTCTCAATGTCTAAACTCGCCAATATCCCTAAAATATCTTAGTTAAAAGCCCAATATAAAGAAACAAATTCCTACTATAAGCAACCAAATTAAAATTATTACAACTTCTTAATCACTAATTCAAAACCTATAAAAACATTAACATTAGCTATCTAACATCCTAAACCTTTATTCTAGAGCTCTTCACCATTTTTTCTAAGAAAAAATTGTTGTTCACCTTGATTATTATTTTATATCTTATCTGTGTTTGTACGAACAATTCATATTTTTCTGTAAAGTTTTAGGCAAAAATCCTATTTGAATTAACCTCTTAAATCCTCAATTTCTGAGTCCAACATTTTCTAAAGATTTAACAGATCTGTCATGCCAAACAATCTTCAGGATTTAACACCCTGAGGATTTAATAAATCCGGATTTACAGGATTTAGTAAATCCTACCTGCTGCCAAGCAGCCCTAAAAAAGTGCAGAACGGCATAAATTTTGTGTAGATAAGTGAGAGTTACTCCACCTCATGTACGCAGTGCTCAACAGCAAGACGAGCAGAGAGATCGTTGGAAGTCTGGATAGCAGAATCCCAGAGACCATCGTGAGCTGGAAAGGCACCGTAGTAGGAACCAAGTTCCTCGAGTCTCCTGGCCAACAATACGAAATGTCGGCCTTCGTCCTGGGCTACTTTGACGAAATCGGTGAAGAAATCCTTCGGCATCGATTCTTTCCTTCCGAATCGAGCAATGATGTCCCATGAGAGATCGATTGCCCAGCTCTCCGTGTGAACGAGGCTGTGCAGCATGGCCAGGCGGCTCTGCAAGCTTCCCCCTTTCCCCAGCTTAGGCATTAGACTGGGAGCCACCAGCTTCACCTGCATGAATGGAAGCAGCGTAAGTACGAGATGGGTTAAAGGTTAGGAGTCATAATTAAGGGTAAGGAGGAGGAGGAGGAGTGGAGGACACTGGAGAGACGGGCGGGGCGATTGGGAATGGGGAGATCGTCATCTTGACGGAAAGGGACGGAGATTTCGCCTTGCAGCCAGCGTTTGGCGGCGGCCTCGCCGAGCCTGGCCTTTTGTATGGGATCCGCCGTGTTTAGTACCTCGAGCGCCGCCTCAAGGAGAGTCTCCGTGTCGCTCATCCCTCACCGTCGGGCTGAGATCTTAAGAATTTTAAGTTCTACCAGACATTATGCCTACAATCACCACTAGCCTCCATGTCATATAATTATCATCATTTGGCCATCATCTAGCATACATCATCTTATCATCATTTGGTCATCATCACCTACATACATCATCTGATCATCATTATTCAACTATTTGAATCCATTCACATCATATAACTACCATTCTCCAACTATTGTCATCTCACCATCATCATCAAAGCACCATCATTTGATCATCATAGTTCAATCATGATCGTCCAACCACCATCGTTCAGCCACCATCATCCAACTATTATTGATTGACTAACATTGTATGTATGTGATGTCATCAACCCTCCATTACTTCTCCCATATTCTATACTACAACCAAATCAAATAAGTGTTACCAATTTTATAATATCTCTTCTTCGATTGTAGAGAATAACGAACTTCTGTAACCTCAGTATATGATGGATTATTTCAACTAGAGTAGCCTTTTTTTTTTCTTTTTAAAATTTTCTACATAAAAACTCTGATGTTTCTGATATTCTTCTCGTTTATATGTGTCTATGTGGATCTTTATGCAAAATTAGGATGTAAAACTCCCTCTTTATTACCATGAATTTTCTAACAACAATATTAACATATTTAAATAGAAAATTTTAGAAAAGAGAAATTTAATTTTATATGCCCCATAATAATAAAAATTAGATAAATATAGCTATTTATTTTCTTAAGGAAATATACCCAAAAGTTCATTCCATGCCAAAATTTTTAATCTTATAAAAATAGAATTTAAAAAAATAAAAACCTCAACCAAATAGTCTTTCAAACTTTTTAGAAAGAAGATGCTCCACTCTTTGTCTTTCTAATGACTCTTTGTCTTTCTAATGCCTTCCTTATCTATGAAGATTATCATTTGAGTGTGATTAGTTAGAAGGAATGTTCTTTATTTTTTTATCAAGCTAGAAGTCCAAGGTTATTGGTGTTATTTAAGTTTGAAAATGTTATTCACACTGTAAAGCCTAAATCCAAAAAAAAAAACATCAAACTTCACATCACCTACTTTGAAGTTAATCAAACCTTGTTAGAATATTATTTGAAATGGATTGTAACCTTGATTTAAGATTATTCCAACCTTATTCGTATTTTCAAAAAAAGTTTAAAGAAGGTTCAAATAAGATTCAATCAAGATCAGAAGCATGTTCGAAGAGGATTCAATCAAGATTGAAATCATGTTAAAATAAAATTTAAACAAGGTTTAATCAACATTCAAATAATGTTTGAGTAGGGCTCGATCAAGGTTCGAACAATGTGCAACCAAGATTTAAACATAATTTTAATTATATTGATTTTTCCCTCCGTATCTCTTCTTGATTTGATTCATGCATGAATAGTTGAAAAATTTTACACTAACTGTCAATTACCTAAAGCAACCCTCCACTTTTCTCATCCAGGACTTCGAACCTGGTAGTGGTAGTGTTATGATATGTAACATCAAAATCTACTCCAGGATCGTCCGGGCCGATCTGGATCGTCCCGGGACGATTAGTGTAAATTCTGCTCCAGATTCTGTACAGAAGTTACAGGAATGATTTCCTGTAGGGATCGTCCGGGCCGATCTGGGATCGTCCCGGGACGATCAGTGGATGGCACAAGTCAGAGAGCAAATCGTCCTGGAAATTAATTATCGTCCTGAGAAATCGTCCCAGGCCGATCAGTTCAGTGCAAAAGTCAGAGAGCATCGTCCTGAGGATCGTCCAGGTAATCGGCCAGGCCGATGTGAATTTGGTCTGATCGTCCAGGACGATCGTGCGATCGGCCGGGCCGATCAGAGTAATTTAAAGCTGAAATCAAGTCATTTTGAAGAGAGAGAAAATCATAAAATATCTAATTTCAGTCTGAGGAGAGAGAAAGTCGAAGGCAAATTTGGAAAAGTTGATTTTC